CAATACAATGCCAAAGCAGCGGTGTTTAGTACAATGTGTAGTATCACACCACTGGCATGGGCACAGAGCGTGGCACTTGGGCAAGCCTTGCTGCTAAAGGGATGGCACTGGAAAAGCATAACAGAGTCAGGCATCCCCGCCTTGACAACGGCTACCCCACGCTCCCTCTTCCGTCTGCTAACTCAACTCTCTTTTTTTTCCATTGCTGAAAGCCAGGCAGAAACTGTGAATAATCAGCACTTTTGAGTCCACGGTTTCTCTTGTCTCCAAGGAAACTCTGCTGTTATGTTCAACATCAAAACCAGCAGGATTTTCAAGGAGGGAAGTCTCCACAGGTAGCAGCAGGGAAGCACCCTAAGGGGGAGAAGAGGGAGGAATCTCTGCAGAAGGAGAGGAGTTGGGAAGAGCTTTGCACAAGCTAGGTAGATATGGAGGGGCAAGGCTAGAGGTCACTGAGAAAGCTATATGAGTCTTTCCAAGGTGGAAAGCTTCTGGTGCTGGGTCACGCAGTGAGAGGGCAGAAGTTAAATAGCTCATCCTTGTGTGGAGCGAGGAAAGACTCAGTGCTTGCAAGGAAGGGATGTCCCAGGCTGTTCAAGGGAAGGCAGGCAGGGCCATGCTTCACCCTCAGGGCTCTGCTCAGTGGCCTGACAATTGCAGTTAGTAGCTATCAAGTCCTACTTGCTTTTGTGCAGATTATTGGCACTCCAGAGTAGGAAGCTACAGTCCCTCCAACACCAGCTGAGTAAAACAGGTGCTTTGCAGGGACCATCTTTGCAAGGATGGCAAAGGAGGAGTGGATGTCTCCGCTCCTGCCTCACTTTCCCCCATCGGTAGGTCCGGAGCACTGAATCCAGCCACTGTGCTATTAGCCGGGTTTTTTCAGTCCTGAGGACCAGGACAGAGAGGGGTCATGGACTCCCTTGCTGGAGGCATCCTCACTCCTCATGCTGTTGGAGCCTTTGCAGCCTGGCCCATTGCGTGCCCTTGGGAAGGGAAGTATGAGCTGAAAGCAATGCAGCCAAAGTGCCTACGCTGAAAATTTTCATTCACAAGCCCAACTGGGGTGAACTCAGCCATCTTTGTGTTGCTATAGCAGCCCCTGGCAGGGCTTTCTGCTCAGTGAACCGCTAGGGCATCTCCATTTTCCGATTGCTATCTGGCAGCCAGCTCCCCCCCAGCCAACTCCTACCACGACAAGGGACCCAGGAGGAGCATGGATCTGCCCAGGGTCTGGCCACTGACCCATCTCTGTAAGAGAGCACCAGCTAAGGGAAGAAGAACCTACAACGGGCAGGAATTTCAGCCCAGCTAAGCTCTACAATGACAAAGTGATCACCAGCTGATCAGCTGGTTTGGGAATAAGTCTGATACTGGGACGACAAGTGCCGCTCTCCCCATTGCTCCCTACTCATGCTAAGGTCCTATGGTAAGGTTGTCTCCCTCTCTAGCTGCCCACCAGGCATTTCACCCCAGCCCAGAACATACAGTCCCACTTTTAAAGCACTCCCCTCTGGGCAGTACTCTGTCCTAAAGCAGGGTGAGAGCCATCCCTGCTGCTCTCACATGCATACACCCAAGAAAATCTGCCATCCTCCTGTCCTGCTTCAGCCCCTGGACCTGGCAGCGCTCTTATTCATGCATTCAGATTTGCTGACAAAACCACTCACCTGGAACAAGTGCCAGTCGTCAAGCAGGAAGGTCAGCGGGTGTTTTTCGTCTTGGGGGATTATTCTGAGTTGTTTCGTTCTTTAATTGTTTAAGCTCAAAGGCAGGATGCAGTATTTTCTCCTCAGAAAGGTACAGCGTTAGCAGCGAGCTCTGAGCAGTACCTCCTGAGAGAGGAAAGGAAGACTGTAATATGCTCAGGATACATGGCAGTAGGGGGTGGGGGAGTGGCATGTAGGAGGAGACTGAAAAAATCTTCGATGATTGCAGGAGACCAGAGAACAGAAAGCACCTGTCACCATGATGTTGCATGTAGCCCATACTGGATTTAACACTACCAGTGTTTTTGCACTTTCTTCTGCCTTCTCACACAAGCTGCAAAGAGAACTCGCAGTAACAGAGAGCAGGGCAAGCTGTTAAACGAGAACCAGACCTCATCCCCATCCCACTCCTGCCCCTCAGTCTGTTCCTTCCATGGGGATGGCTGCATGCAGAAATCCATCCAGCAGCCACAGCTGGATACCCTGAACGGGCAGGTTCTTCTCCAGTCCAGTTTGTGTAAGTTGGACCTCAGAGATCCAGCCACACCCTGTGCTTTGTCCAGATCAGCCCGAGGGGATGGAGGGGATGGACATGTGTCTGTGCCTCAGCCGAATCACTGTAATTTCCCGCTGGTGTATTAGGCAAGTCACAAGGAGGAATCAATTCACTGAGTGTACAAAGGAAATACGTTAGCAATACAGTCTGTCCGGGAGCCAGACTGCTTTCAAGGAAGCGGGCAAAACTTCCACTGTCTTTACTCACTGATCTCTTAAATATTGATTCCTGATGGTATAAGCCTGGCATTTCAAAATTTCTATTAATGCACTATGCCAAAAACACATCAGGTTGCAGGTGTGAGCACCACACACCCTGTGCTGGCCTCTGAATGGGGCAGTGAGAAATTATGTGCAAAAAACCAAGCCCCAGCACCAAGGTCACAACAGCACCTCTCTTTCTATTCCTACCAGAGACATGACTCACAGGGGACACATCCGTTGTTTCCTGACAGTAGCCTTCTCCTTAATTCAGGTGGCACCAGTGCAGGGGGTTTGCCGCATGCTCCAGGTTCAGCATACCAACAGCGATGCATTGTGTCTGCAGCTAGAACTTGCCACAAAGTTTGAACTCACCCAGCAAGGGATAGGTCAAAGTCAGTGTCAGGCTCATCTGACAGAGTCCTGGAACTGAAATCCCCGAGCCCTACGTCCCCATCAGACTCTGTGGGAAGAGGAGCACTAGACCTCTTCAGCCCAGGTTACAGAGAGCGGCTCCCAACACCAACTGGCTTTTTGCAGATATTAATCGTAGAATCATTTAGGTTGGAAAAGACCTTTAAGATTATTGAGTCCAACCATAAATCAGGATGGTGATTAGATGGGACTTCGCTGGACAGGCCATTTGGAGCCTGGGGTCTTGACCATCTCTGTCATTCTCCCTTGTTTTAACTTGCTCCATCTGCCAAATCAGCATGGACACAGGCCATTGCTGCATCAGGAGACACGGGCACACTGTCTGCACCTGACAAATTGCTTGGTCTTCACGCGGCTTGGTTGCTGACATGTAAATGGAGGAAATAGCGCTAATCTTCCTGTTGAAGGCTGCGCAAGTTCAATGAACTCTCAGGTCACGCAAGTGTCAGCTGGGGACTGGAAACTCAAGCTGTGTACCCTGCAAAGTTTTAGTCATCTTTCCAGCAAAGCACATATTGGAATGGGCTACACAAGAAGATAATTTTATTCCAAAATTAACGTCTCTGATTATGGGTAATAGACTCCAGCATTCTGCCTGCACCACACACCCAAAACACTCCTATGGAAATGTGACTGAGCGCCAGCCCAGCCACATAGGGAAAAGGAGGCGGATCATAGCAGGGCAGCCTAGTACACGGCTGGTCTCCTTTGCCTCTTCTGCTGGGTCCACAACATTGGCTGCCAGTGGGACAGTCCCAGAGAAAGGACATCTCTTATTCCTCTTATATCCAGAAGCCCCTGCTTCTCTCAGTGGCTTAGCCAGCAGCATTTCTTACAGAAGGGTACCCGACTTCACTCTGCTGGAGGCTGGGGTGACCCGCAGCAAAGTGCGCTCTTTGCCTGGACAAGTGCATTTCTGACACTGCCCCGCGAGGGGCATGGCTGCCGCGCACTTGGCCACCCCTCAACTGCTGCGCACTTCTCCCTGAAGCTACCTCAGGGAGAAATGGTTGGCTAACAGTAAATAATTGTCCTTTTCCACTTCCTATGCCTGAGGTTCAGCTTGGCTCCTAGAATGTGCACTAATTCCTATCCAGTCTTTTAATTCCCAGGTTAATACCCCTAGGCCTTTTTTAGCCATAAACTCACAGTGACAAACGCCTTAAACCTTCTCCTTCAGCAACTTTTTCCGTGTTTCATTTTGCCTTGTACCTGTGGCAATTTCCAGACACCTTCGAGTTATTAAATAGGACACAGAGCAGCAGTCTAAAGCTATGGAGGAGGTGAAGAGCTTTGCTCCCTTGGGATGGAGGTGCGTGATGCCCAGGCAGAGTCTTTCCAGGGTGGAGCAATCCTTGGAGAACCCATCCCACGGTGAGCTAACTCCCCCAAGTCTCTCCTCTTTCTATGAGTGCCAGGCACACTCGATCATCCACATTGCACAGAGGCTGCGTGATACTGTAAGTTATCAACAATGGATAAAAAGGAAACTCACAATGTCAGCCTTGTGAGAGGCAATGAGAAAAGACACGACAACTGCACCTCATGTCACTTAGTCACCTTATAAAGGGTCTTCTGATGCAATCCTTGCACAGCCGTTTAAAGATAAAGAAAGGGCTTGTTGGGAAACAGCCTGGAATAGCTTTCCCAAATCAGCTCCCTGGTGATCTTCTCCACAAAGCGCTTTTCAAAATGATTTATGCTAATCTCATAAGTAGAGTAAAAATGTTACATAGGGACAGGGCAGTTTGTTTTGCACCCACTCCCTCTTTAAACATGCCCTCAGCCTGTATCTCTGCCCAACTTGGAAAGACAGCAGTCCTAAACAAGTGAAGTTCTGGGCAAAGGACTTGAGACAGATTTTTACAGAGTGTTTGTGCATCTAAAAGAGAGGTTTGCAGGTCCAGTAGAACAGCTACTTCTTTATCACCTCTTTGTTTTTTAAGAAAGATATCGATTAACTATCGGATCTCTAAAAAGCAAAATACCTAAAGATGAGCTAAGTGTTGATTCATAATGTAACGATAAGGAAAAAACCCACATGTGAATCTCTATTAGCATGCAGTTATGGCAAATTCAGTTTGCTATACACAACCTGGATGAGACATTGAGGCTGCAGGGCTGGGTTAGAAAAACCCAAGCTTATAGCTGTGTCCACATCCCACGGTTTCACTGTCTTCCAATAAGCACTTACTGCATTAGCCTTTTGGAAGGGCTCAATTTGTCTGAACTGCTGAAAAAAAACCATTAAGGAGCATGCTGTAACAAATCACAGGTGTAACTGCACACAGCCCTGTGACTTGAACACGTGGGTGACCGGGAGCATGTACGCGAACCGTCCTTACCCAGATATGTCACAGGAACATGGATGTTTTCTGCTGGAGTGTAGAAAGCCACTGGGATATTCCCACTTGCTAATTGTCGTGGGGAAAGCTGTGATTTTCATGAACGTTAAGCAACCCTTCAACCCTTCCTTCCCTGGATTTTGCAATTCTGTAGTCTTGTTCTCCTTGTTACAGTAACCTTAATTTGGGGGTTGGGATTAATTTTGTATCCTGCACTGCTCACTTGGGCCAGGGAGCAGAGTCCAATTATGCAGCTGTGACCTTCATTCCAAGTTAGCAGAGTTTCTGCAAATGAATCTCCTTTGTGTTTCACAGAGCTGCTCAAATAATGGAATTTCCTTCCTATGGGAAATGCCAATATTTCAACATTTATTTTTGCCCTATTTTGGAACAAAAAGTCAAAATTTCAACTCTTGCAGCACATGAAGTTCAGGAAAATTCAGAAATGTAGAGAAATGTTTTGGCCTGGATCAGACAGAGGTAAATCTACTCCTACCTGAGCTGTAATATTTCTTCATGTGAGTGCCTCTCATGATAATTTTTTTACCTTATTGGGTAGACTGCAACTCTCGTGATACTCTGCAGTGTTCCCCTGTAGCCGAGCTGCTGTGGTGCATCAGAGGGAGAGCAAAGGCCAAGAAGAACAAGGCCAGGAGGGCTAAGAGAGAAAAAGCATGTGATGTAGTTCTCACTGACAGCCCCTGCCAAGACATTTTGGTTAGAATTTCTGTTGGGACAATGAAACAAAGAAAGTTATAGTTAAAAAATGGTATATCCAATGACAAAAATTATTACCCCAAATTTTTGACTGGGTAGTTTCAACTGATGAGTGAGACAAACTTTTGTGAGCTCCTCAAGTTTCTGTTGTTCCAAAGTGCCCTCGTTTTCTCCTTGGTTCTGCTGAGAGTGTATGTGATTGAGACATTTCAGCTATTTTGAATCCCAGCTCATGCTCCCTGCTTCGCCCAGGTGCACAGGGAACTTGTGCTGCACACATCTAAGGGGAGTTCTGCTTTGGGAATTTGTGTGATTTGTTTTGAAATCTCTGTATATCACTATACAGGTCCAGCCAGTGCAAACTGCACGTGCCTAAGGTGGTTGCTCTGGTGATGTCTGAAGTCTTAAGAACAGCATTCTGTCAAACTGTTTAGCAAAATATACTCACACTTCCACTGGAGAATGAATCCTCTGCTCCCTCCCCAAAAGGTTCCCTGGTGGAAACTCACCTGAGTTCCCTCAGCACGACAATAGGTGCGAGGAATCATTTAGCCTTTCTCCCTGCCCTACTCCACCTCTGACTCTTCCTTTCAGCTCCATGCTTTTCTGCTGGCACTACAAACTGCCTAGCAGTTGTTCTGCCCAACGTATTTGAAAGAGGCTTGATTTAAGTTTCATGCCATAAACAAGTTCTTTCTAAAGACCTTTCTTTTCTGCTTGCCTTCTTGTATTTGTACATTTAACTCTACCCTATTTTATATTTTACGCATGACGGTTCTAACGCCAGTGTGGTGCTGTTTTTTAATTTCTTTCCTTCCACGAGCAGACTGCATCGGTCCCTCCTTCCCACCACCACCCTGCCTCCTGCAGTC